GAAATTCTTTGTTCATTTGAATCTCTTTATAAGGTTGAAGAAGAAGTAACTGCAATATCGGAAGATGATCCTATTCATGTTCTTAATAAAAAGTTTAAAACTATACAAAATTCACTTAATAAGTATTTAGAAAGAATTAATGAATTTTATGGGTTAAAAGGAGTTTATAAAAGTTTGAATAAAGATCTTTTTCAGATAGAGGTTGATACCAATTGCCAAGTACCTGAAGATTTCCGTATGGTTTCATTTACTAAGAATGTTAAAAGATATTATACTGATGAATTAAAGAGACTTGTAAGAACTTATTCAGAGACTGAAGAAAAGATATTTCAAGCAGAAAATTCCCTACTTAAAAGATCACTAGAGTTTCTTTTAAAAGATTCCATGTTCTTTAATGAATTGATTGATTTTCTATCAACTGTAGATTGTTATTTAAGTTTTAATTTGTTTAATAATCAAAAAGAATTTAATGAACCCGAATTTACATTAGATGATCAAACAATAACATTGAAAGGATTGGTGCACCCAACTTATTTAGATTTCATTCCAAATGATTTTAGTTCAACACCAAACTATAACATTAATTTAGTAACAGGTCCTAATATGGGAGGTAAATCTACTTTTCTTAGGGCTATTTGTCTTAATATTATTTTAGCACAAATGGGATTAAATGTGTCATGCATGGAGATGAAATTGCCAATATTTGATAAAATATTCACTCGTATTGGAGCATCCGATTCACTAGCAAAGGGTGAGTCTACCTTTTATATTGAATTATCTGAATGTTCTAAAATTCTTAATACAGCAACATCAAGATCGTTTGTTTTATTAGATGAGTTAGGAAGAGGAACATCTACAAGAGACGGTGAGGCAATAGCAAAAGCTGTATTGGATCATTTAAATAAGATTGGTTGTGTAACATTTTTTTCGACTCATTACCACAACCTTGTTCAAGATTATAAGAACGCAGAGAAGTTTTATGTTAAAGCTCAAATAGATAAGAATGACATTATTTTTCTTTATAAGATTGATAAGGGTATTTGTTATGAATCATATGGTCTTTATGTTGCTAGGTTAGCTAATATACCAGAAAGTATAATTAACAGAGCTAATGAAATCAAGAAACAACTGGAAAAATGAACTTTATTTCTTTTTATTTTTATAAATCAACAATTTTTGTGTTTTATTCTTTTTAATTCCCTTTTTAGGTTTTATTTCAATAGAAATTGTCTGATTTAATCCTTTAAAGGTTAATGAGTCTCTTTTCTTCATTATTGGAGGTATTGAAGTGTCTCTTTCTATGCAACATTTACATGTTTCTTTATTTTCTTCAGAATTACTTAATTCTTTATTTTCATCGTTTTGAATAACTGATCTTCTTCTAAATCCTATATTTAAGAATTCTTCTTCTTCATTAGCTTTCTTCTTTTTTTGAATATTTTTAGATAAAATAAACAAAGAGTCATTTTTCAAAGATTCATTTACATTATTTTCCTCTACAACATCACTTTTGAGGTCTTTTTGTATCTTTTCTATATCATCTTCTATAATTTCAATTTCATTATTAATCAAACCTATGCTATTATTATTTCCATCTATAATATCACCTAATAGTTCTTCTTTGTTAGTTTGATTATTGGTTTCTTTAGACTCATTCACTATGAGATTTTCATTAGATGTTTGAATTTTTTCACTTATAACTAATTCATTATTAGAGTTTAAATCTATCAAATTATTATTAACTACAATTTTTTCATCTTCCTTATTTTGACTGTTTATACTTTTATTTGAAATTTCTTCTAATTTTACTTCATTAACATTATCTTTTAGTAGTGAAACGTTTAAAGCTTCGTTTTTATCTTTTAAATTTCTTAAGTCTTTATCTTCTTCATTTTTTATAAAATTTTCTTGTATTGTGTTTTCTTCTTTTGACTTGACCGATTTATCAGGTAAATCTTTTATCAACCTTGTAGAAAATAATTTCTTTGTTTTAACTGGTTTTACTTTCATTTTAGGATTTTTAGAAGAGGTGTTACCAAATATTGATAAAATATCAACTTTGTTAGTTTTCTTCATCTTTTTAGGACTATTTTCTTTTACCGTTTTCTCAATCAGATCGTTTTTTGACACATTGATTACCTCTTTAATTTCTTTCATCATATTCTTTATAAGTAAAGCTTTATTTGATTTATTTGTAACACTATCTCGTTTAGCAGATTCATTTAATTCCTCTGTTTTACGACTTTCATTCAACATTTGGTCCAAATTAACTGTTTTATTTGGTTCATTTATCCTAATAATATTCAATTTTGATTCATCATTTAATTTTATAATTTCTTTAGCACTTATGAAATTATAAATCTCGACTTCCCATTTATCCACAAATCCATCTTTTAACAAATTTGAATTATCTAATGGATTTCTTTCTAATAATTTGTAGAAACAATTTCTAGTTTTAATTAAAAATGGATTCTTTACACCAACAATTGCTGATGTTCTTATTAGCCTGTTGTTATGTAAACCTACTAGAGATATCCATTGATACACTTTTCTATACTCATTTTCAATCATAACTTCAACATCATTTTCAATTATTTCTATTGACCAGTTAGCTAACTCTTCAACTACTCCATTAACTATTTTATCTGGTATCACTTTTTTAAACATTGTTCCATCTTCAATATTTTCTAAATCACCATTATTAATCACATCATAAAAATCACCTCTCTTCTCCATTTTAGAGGGAAAAAAATAAATAAAAATAAGTCTTTAAAATAATTTTATTAAGGACAAATTATAGCTTTACCACCTACGTTAGCAATTTGTTGTTCAGCGTTCTTAGTAAAGTATCTAGCTTTAACAACAAGTGGTCTTTCGAGTGGAAGTTCACCTGCAACCACAACATGATATCCAAACTCTCTTACATCAATAACTGGTGATATACTTTCATTATTAAGAACTTCTTTTCTACTTTCAGAATCCATCAACCCATATACTTTAGCTAAGCTAATAGATTTTTTAATTTCAGCATTCTTTTTAACGTGGAAATTAAGCATACCTCTCTTACCAAAGAAATCTGGATGATACTTCATATACCATGTTCTCATGTGTTTAAATCCACCACATGCTCCTCTACCACTTGGATGTTTTCTATGCTTATTAGTTCTACCGTAACCATGTGAAGTTTTACCTCTCATTTTTCTAGATTTCTTATCTTTATGCATTTTAATGGGTTAAAAATTTTTTATAAAATTTCGTATTTAAATATGAGAGCGTTAAAAGAAGATGAATTGAAGAAAGTTGAAATGAAAGTTAAAAGTTTTATAGGTGATAACATTGAAAAAGTCTTTGAAGATAAATTATTAAAATACAACAACCAGAAAGTATATTTAGCCAGTGAACAACTATTTAAACAGGCCTCGCAATTCTCAAGGGATGAATTACAGTCAGTTGGCACCATACTTGGAAGATTTACTAAAACAGGAAACTTTAGAATAAAAATTACCGGTTTAAGAGTCATTGAAAAATACGCTTTAAACAAAGTTTGGTTGAATAAAACAGCAGAAATGAACTTTTTGTATGGACATAATGCTATCAAAGCACATATTTATAAAATGTCTGAATCTATCCCAATGAATGCAGGTGTGATTGTTTATAATCAAGATAGTTTGTTACTTGGTTTTGGTATAACAGCGGTTTCACCAACTTCTTTCCAAAGAGCAAGAAGTGGTGATAAAATTATCTTAACTCAGGCTGATAACGGAGAGTATATCAGAAATGAGTCTAATTTAACATAATAAATTATTATTCTAAATATGGTAATTTTGATTGATTTAAGAATTTATTTAAATTTTTTTCTTAAAATACTTTTTTTCTTCAATAACATCTTTAACTTTTTTATAAACTTCCTCTTTAGATTTATTTCCATCAATTTCAATCACCAAATCTAAACTTTTTAGATTTTCGATAGCTGGTTGTGTTTCTTTAAAAAACTTTTTAAACCGTTCTTCTATTACTTTGTTGTCTTTATCATCATTTCTATTCCCCTTTCTATTATTAATTCTTTCTTTTGCAACATTTTCATCAATATTAATAACAAATGTAGATTTCAATGGAAATTTTCCTGAAATCTGAGACAACGTCCTTGGAAATCCATCAAAAATAATTGTTATTTCTTTTTTATCAGCATGTGTTTGTTTGATACCTTTAATCATTTCTTCTAAAATACATTCAAGCTTTTCTGTAGATAACAAATCTGAACCATTAACAAGTTTTCTCTTTCTTAATTCTTCACCTAAAAATATAACGTTTACATGATATTCTTCGTTGATTTGTTTTAGAATCGTGCTTTTACCACAACCTGGTTTGCCAATAAACGAAAAATAAATTGCTTCCATTTTAAAGGGGTTATTTCTTAACAAAATATCTATTTTATAATAATCCTTTATTTAATAATTTAATTAGAAGTTTTTAATAAGCTAATTGTTAAATAATAAGAAAATTTATTTTTATTGAGTTTTATTAAAGTGGCTAATTGTTTATTAAAATCGTTTATTTAACATTCTATTTTAATTTTTATAAAAAATTATCCATGGATGAAGAAAATTTAAGAAAATATAAAGCTAAGAAACAAAGATTAGATTTAAGACAAAATCTATTAGATGAGCTTTCTAAATATTCAATAAAGAATACAGAGGCATTTAAAAAGAAGAAGATTAAAAAAGATAAGAAGATTGTAAAGAAAACAACTTCAGTTGTTACCGGTGATAAGAAAAAGACTTCATTTAAAATTTTAAAGCAAAATGAAGATAGTTCTAGTGAGACAGAAGAGGTTAAAGATTATAATGAACTGATTAAAAATGAAAAGAATATTGAAATTACTGAGAATGTTCAAGAAGAATTTAATGATATTTATAAGTATAAATTATCTCGTTTTTTAAATAGAAAAAATGAAATTATTGACTTTAGAAAATCACTAGATATTTTTTATCATGAGAATGATATTATTTCAGTTGTTAAGAGTAATTTGGTTGTTTTTATTCAAGGAAATACCGGTTGTGGTAAGTCTACACAAATACCTCAGATGTTGATGGAATATGGTTTTGCTAATGAAAAGAAGATAGTCATGACACAACCAAGAAGGATCAATTGTGTAGGTGTAGCTAATAGAATTAACGAAGAAGTTAATGAAAATGTATGTGGTTACAGGTATATGTTTGAAGATAAAGTCAGTTTTGGTAATAAAACTGTTGTAATGACTGAAGCTTTATTATTGATGGAGATAAAAAATGATAATTTGTTGAGTTCCTATTCTGTTATTATATTAGATGAAGTACATGAAAGATCTATATATATTGACATATTAATATCTGTATTATCAAAAATTGTTAAAATTCGTAAAGAGAAAGGAGATTATTTAAGATTGGTTTTTATGAGTGCAACTGTTGATAACATAGAAAATTATAGAAATCATTTTAACTTCACTACACTTGAAAGTATTTTAATAGAAACAACTAAGAAATTTAAAGTTGATGAAATATTTTTAGGAAATGATAAAGATTATTTAAAAACGATAACTGAAAAAATTATTTCCATAATATTGAAGCCTGATTTTGACATGATTAATAAATCAATGTTGGTGTTTCTACCATCAAAAAACGAAATTTACTCTATGAGAACTAAATTACTTGAGTGTTGTAAATTATATGATTTGTTTGAAAACTCATTAATTGATATTGTCCCTTTACATTCTTCATTAAACAAAGCAGAGCAAGCAAAAATTTATAAAAATAATTTTAAAATAATTTTAGCAACCAACATAGCAGAAACTTCAATTACGATCAAAGACATCTATTATGTGTTTGATTCAGGTAGAGTGAAATATAAAGTTTGTGATGAAAGTATTACAAAATATAAAACTGGATTTATTACTAAATCAAGCGCAAAACAAAGATCGGGTAGACTGGGAAGAGTTTCTGATGGGATTTGTTTTAGAGCTTATAGTGCACAAAATTATGCTAATTTTTCTGAAGAAAACGTTCCTCAAATACAAATGCAGGATATAACGAGTATAATTTTATTTATAAAAAATTTAGGATTTAGAATATTAGATAACTTTCCTTGGTTTAGTAAACCCAGTGAGTATAGTTTAAGTAGTTCACAAAACCATTTGAGATACTTGGGGTTCTTAGATAAGTCATATAATGTCACAGATATTGGTATGGTTGCATCTTTATTTCCAGTAAAACCAAGACTTGCTAGAGTAATACTTTCTTATGATAGAAGTAGTTATAATATTTTTGTACTTGTTGCTATTTTATCTTTAAACATAGAATTAAAGGAAAATACTTTTACTATTCCTTACTATCATAATTCAAAAAGTGACTACATCGTGTTATTAAAAATTTATAAAGATTTTTTAAATAGCAGTGATCAATCAAAATTTGCAAGTGATATTAAGATTAGCATAAATTTATTACATGATGTAAAGAAATTAACAAATCGATTGATTTCTATTTATAAAAAAGTTGTTTATTCTGATTCGGTTATTACAGAAGTAATTAATATTTATGAATTTGAAACAGAACTCTCAGTATTATTAGCTAATTTTAAGGATCAAATCGCTATTAAATATAACGATTTATATTTGTTTAGAAATGATGAAGTTTATGTCGATTCTAATTCTATTAATACAGAAGCACATAAGATTGTTTTTGAGTATTTGATTTGTACATCCAGTAAAGTTTATTTAAAAAATGTAAGTATTCTTGAAGATTAAATTAATTATTTTACTTTTATTGAACTTAAACTATAAAACATGATTGTTACATTTTATAGTAAATTTTTAATTTAATAAAAATTTTTATGTATTTATTTAATAAAAGATTAAACGATCAATATTTTAATTAATTATTAATAGTTTTGTTCAAAACCAAGTTAAAATGAATTCGCATGTTATAATTTTCATAATAAAAACAATTGTCATTTTTACTTTACTGTTATATTAATTTTAAATTTTTATATAAAAGATTTGAATTTAAAAATTTTTTATTCATCTTTCGTAATTTCTAAGTAAAATTTAATTTTTGTATATAAAATCTATTTTACTTTAATTCTCATGAATATTCAATGTATGGGGGTTAAAAATAAGTGAGATCGCAAATATATAGCCATTGTTTTTTTATTTAATATTTTTTAATAAATTAACTTTATTTTTGTTATATATATTGTTTAAAACATAAAAAATTGTCCTAATCAGTTTAGTGGTTGAATGTCACGTTGTGGCCGTGGAGAAGCGGGTTCGATTCCCGCATTAGGAATTTTTAAATGGAAAAAATTTTATAAAAAAAATATATTTCTTTAAGTATTAACTACCTTAAAAACAGTTAATTTTTATTCTTTATTTGATTATTAAATTTGTAGTTTAAATAATATAAATTAACTATCAAATAATATTTAAAATAGAATCCATTTAATTAAAGTTATTTAAAATTACTTCATATTATATTTAATAGTGATATTAAACTCTTTAAAAATATAATGACATTAAATTCTATTTAAATAATAAAATTTCTAATACTATTTGTTTGTGTTTAATTTCTTAATAATTTAACTTAAAAGTATTTAAGAAATAACTTTTATTGTTATAAGAAATTTTGTTGTCTCTTTAGAATTGTAATTCTTATAACATTTAAAAAATTCTAAATTTTTTAACAAATGGATAGAGAAATCTTTATACTTAAAGAGAAGTTACTGGTAGATGTTGTTATAAAACCCAATAGAAACATTAATGATATAATAAAGATACTTCTTAAAGATTCAGCCATTGTTGTTTTTGACACTATTGGTAACTTTAATAAAGATCTATTACCCAAAGATATAGTATTACTCAAATATTTCTGGATTAAATCAATCAATCATCTCTATAAAACACTAAGATCTCTCAAAGAAAAAAGAAAATTCATTCTCATAATTGATTCAATAACCTTTGTTTGTGATTTTGATTATAAAATGATTAAAAGTACTTTAAATGAACTTTGGAAAACAATATACCAAAATAAATGCACAATCATATGTATTAATCACTTCAGATATGGAAGTGAAAATGATACGCTTAAACTTATACCAAGAATGGGTTACGTATACAATAACTTTATTTCCTATAGAATTATTATTAACGATCAATCTTATGTGTGTGTTCAAAACAAAAGATTTATTTTAAATAAAAATTTTAATTAATTTCAAAAAAAGTTTATTAACACCCCCAATTTGTAAAGAGATTATCAGCTAGATTAATAAAAAGAATAAAACAAAAATATAATTGTATAAATTTAATGTTTGTTGATTTGTAGAAATAAATATCAGATCAAGAAGTAGTTAAAGACACATTAATTAATTATTCGTATTCATACTTATAATTAATGTCTTCAAATATTAAATTAGATTGTTTCTTCTCTATAACACGTGTCTGATTATTACGTGAAGATATTTGATTAATAGCTTGATCTGGTGGCTTATTAGGTTCAGCTTTATTAATTATTGTTTGGGTAGGTTGGTTTATTATTTGATTAACAGGTGCAGTGAGTAACTTTAAATTTTCTATCAGTTTATTGCAAATAATATCTTCATCAAGGATTAAATTCTTTGAATTTAGTGATTTACCGAGTTTAATAGATTTGAATTTTTTTCTGTTACGATAAATTGATTCAATAGTATTAAATGAACTACTCTTAGTAATGATTAGTTTCTTACGTAATGAGCTATTAAAAATTGATCCATAATTTTCTATAATGTTGATATTGTTGTAAAATATTAACTCTTCCAATTCACATCTTTTTCTGTATAACTCACAGAATTGATCTATTTCAGCATACTCTCTAGTTAAGTATTCAAGTTTATCCTGTGTAAGATTTTCATTCTTTCTGGACTTTATTTTAGGTTCCTGTATTCTTTGTCTGAAGCAAATGTAAGCCTCGAACCCTGGTCTATCGTATCTTAATATTGTTCTTTCCAAAACGAAAGATATGAATTTATGGTTCTTAACACTATGTAAATACCTTGAGTCTTCACCAAATACTTTTATTGCTCTATCAAAATTCAAATACTTAGTGTTAAATTCAGTATAGTCTAATAATGCAATCTTCAATTTCTCAATATTATACTCATTTAGTAATATTATCCCACTCTTATTATTTATAATTATGGACCCATAGGATTCTTCTCCAGGCACTATATTATCTATAAGATCGGTATTCAACGCATCAATATCTTTGTCTGTTTTTATATAATCATTAGACACATCTTTTTGCCAATTGATAAACTTTGAAAGGGTTATGTCTTCGAAACATTCACATGCTTCATTTAATATAGTGTTTACAACAGGTATAGGAATAAGTTTACTCTTTGATTCTAACACACGCTGTAGATGCAACTCTTTTTCCTCTTCCTCCTCCACACCAGAAGCCTTGATTTCCTCATAATCCTCAATCTCATCAGACAAAACTTCATCAAATGCTAAGACTGGAAGTGATATGTTGTTCTCAATCTTTAGTCTTCTTTTTCTTTTGAAAGTCATATAGAAATTTTTTATCAGATGATTTTTTAAAAATTTTATGAAAATATTTTTAATAGGGAACTACCAAGAGAAACGGTTATTTTAACTTTATTTAGCTAAAAAAACTCTATAAAATTAAGTTTAAATTATAATAAAAATTTTTACTTGTTTATTTGTAAACAAATAAGAATTTAATGAATTTTTTAATATTTGTTTTAAATAGCGTATTTATCCGTCTTTACTAATTTGTTATTATCTTTTTTAATATTGTTTTTATTTATTTACATTTTGATTAATTATTGAATTCAAAAATAATTAATTTTTTAATATTTTATCAACTCTTTATACTTTACTAATCTTATTTAAAAATAATATTATATTTAATATTAAAATAAAATGATAAATAAATATTTGATTATAACTTTAAATTTGTTTTAAATAATTATAGTAGTGTTTAAACAGTTAATTCTAAAACTCTCTTTATCATCTATGACATTCTTGTTTTTAGAACTACCACCCGTCTTAATATCTTTCTTCTCTTAAATATATTTATCCAATTAATCTTTATTAATCATTTTATTAATATTGGGGTTTATTTAAAAATTTGTTTAAAAATCATCATTGATTGATTTGACAGGTCTTTTTAAGTTGAATTTAATTCCACAAAGAAAGAGTGTTAAATCCAGTTAACAAATATTTTATTTTATTTTAATTAAAAAATATTTTAAGTTAATTATTTTTTATCATAATGTTTTTAAACAATAAGATTAAAAATAATTAAAAATTTAATAGATGATAATAATTATTTATATATCATATTACATAGTTAATGTTAAGCAATTTTTTTAATTTTACTAAAACTTTAA